AATCTTCAATGTTGTCAATATTTGCTGGATTTTAGAATGAGTATTGAATGGGAATAGGACCACGAAGAGGCTTCTTTCTGCAGAGAAGCTGATTATGCAGCACATCTTGTCTTTTTTCACTCTTCTGACTTCTCTGCTCGGTCATCCATCTCCGCTTTGCTTTTCATTTTCCCTCTTCGCTCATCTGTTCATTCTCAGTGCTCTTTGTGACAGATGCTTGATTATGTCCATCAGACTGCTTTGGGGAAGGCTAGAGCAAGGCTAAAACAAGCGGCCTTATTTTGAAAAAGCCTGGCTTAAGAATTTCTCCTGATGCATCTGACCGTGTTTTCTGGTTCACAGAGTCCATCCTTGCGTGAAACTCTCGCAGATTTCTCTGGCTGCCATTTTAAATGAATTGAAAATCCTAGCCTGAATGATATCATGGTGAACAATGTTTTACTGCTTTGAAACAAATGGTCATGCTGTAAGTCTCCAAATTGGTCATTATCTGTGCTATTTTTTGCTAGATATTCTCTGTAATCTAACCAACGCTGGTTCCTCAGCTGCATCGATAAGTGGACGATGGAAAGAGCGGACGGGGAGACGATCCTAAATGAAACATCTTCTTCACTGCTGTGCGTGCAGCAAGTGGATTCTGCGGTGTGAGTCGGAGGAACAGCATAGCAAGGCATCATTAAAAAGCAGAGGGTGGGGGAAGTCGTGACATGAACACCCACTGCATCACAGCTGCATCGTTTGACCAGAGGGCACTGGCGGTGAAGACCTCCCCAAACATATGTAGAGCTCCCCCAGCTGTTCTAATACAACAGACATGGCAGCAAGAGTCGACGGAGATTGTAAACTAATACAATTTTAATGATTTAATACAAGCTCAATCTGAAAACATGTTAGAGCCCTTCACCCCTTAAACCGCAGGCCAATTAATGCTATGATACAATATTCCATACCTACTATAAATTATTAAATAAATGATTTGAATAACTACCATCAAACTAATCTGTAGGTTATGCAGTTATAAGAGTGAGGTTGAACAGTGGGCTCACATACAGACCCTTACAAGTTATGAGGTCAAGAAAGGAGGGAAAAGAGGACCATCTGGACCACCTGTGAAGAACTACACCTTCCACTGGACTCACCACCACCATCACAACAGGCTAATCAGCTATCTGTGAGATAAGTCCATAATCATAGTTTAGACAGCCATGGTCTGAGAGGGTGATAGGAAAGTAAAGACAATGAGAAACGTAGTTATGTATCACTGAAATATGATGGTCTATTAGAAGATATATTAGAAATTAGCTGTATATGAATATATGAAGGTTGCCTGTGAACGATCCCTTCTAAACCACTCAATAATGTGGAATTGTGCCATATGGAAAATGCAAAATAGGTATTAAAGCAAATAGGTATTAAAGATCTTGAGCAATAATGCAAGGCGGCGATTTAAAGTAATGCTCAATTTAGTAAAACCTGCTTTAACATACTGAATGGTTTTGACTTGTTTGGATATGAATTCATACTGATTTAACTACAGCTGCTGCATCTGAACTGGATGGACGGACAGCATTCAGAAGGTCCAACAACAGACTTAACGGCCTCTAACATGCAGTGACGTCAGAAGGATGCTCACCCATTCAAGTCAATGTAAAGTTTGACATTTGTTTTTTGCCTTGTTAGTTCACGTTCCTGGACCTATGAAGCGTCTTATCCTGCTATGTTAAAGACAAAATGTTGTTTTCCTGTGTTTTACCATCAACATGTAATGCCGCCATGCACCAACTGGCAGAGATGAACAATACTAACCAATAATATTACGTTTCACCTCTTCCCACCACCCCCCATAAAGAGGTATGCTCAGCTAGCTCAGAGACCCTCCCTGCTACAGCGTTTCACTCTGAAATACATCGCGGCACAGAAGGAAAATGCATCGTTTTTCAACTTTTTCAACAACAAAATACATTTAAGGACTCTATAAAATGCATTCTGAAGTGATGAGAGGAGCACAGTTTAGAGTCTTATGAGTTTACAGCTGCTATTCAGTTACACTAGGATACTTCCTGCATCTTTGACCGACCATATTTAACCTGACCTTACTCATTCACACCTGCTCGCTAATGACCTGGGCCTTTTTTGCATAGCTGCTGTGTTCAAATAGGTCACACATAGGCCCTGTATACACATACTGTCACCACAAACCAACACTCAATGTAATCTGGGTTCCTATTGAAATGCTCAGAGGAACAAATCACGGTTCTTATCTTCTAGATTTGATAAAGGAGCCAATCACGCTGCTATATTGTTTGGCAGATCATGTGCTGCTGTTGACGTGGTTTGGAAGGCCCGGTGTGTTCGTGATTAGTCTTAACATGCTGCCTTTAGGCAAAGAAGAACCTGCTGAAAACATGGAGAATGCCTGAAACAGGTCAATGTTTCGTGTTGTTTTAATTTGCACGCGTCATATTCCCTCGACGTCAACACAAACGCCACCCAACAGCAAAAAAAGCACGTTTTCACACAATGACGCGAATTTAAGCAGCTTTTTTCTCTATTTTCAGCGTTTGGGCTGCTGCTGCTGCTGAGATGTGAGCTTAAGTTGAAGTTGGCTTCTCATTCGAATTCCCCGTTCCACCTTAAATGGTGCAGCAGCAGTCACATTCTGGCCGTTTAAGGTGGAACGGGGAATTGGAATAAGCAGCCCTCGAGCTCACTGCATTAAGGCGGTGAGAGAGTCCCCGCTCCACGACACACGGCTCATTTTACAGGTAAATACAGTCTAATCCACCAACACATCCACACTTTATCAGTGACATGCAGCCTGTCGATGGTCCAGCATAATGGTGCAGTATTCATAACGACGCTCGTGAGCTACACGAGCGTATAATCGATGGATGTGTTCGTTAAAGTAGCCGAGCTTTCTATCATGAGTCACCAGTTCTTCAGGGAGCGACCCGGCAGCTCTGCAGTCGGAGCAGCGTTAAGCCGCATTAAAGCGCCAGATGCACCAGCCGTGCCAAAAAAGCAAAACGCCAACGTGCCTCTCGATCGCGACGGGCCAGACACAACCGGAGGGCTACAGCGCACCTTCGTAATGACGCAGTTTCGATGCTGGGGCTTTTTTTAATGCCTATGTTTAAGGAAGGCTCTTTAGATACGACCATTCACTCCCAGCGAGCTCGTTTTAGTGAGGGTTTTGTTTGTCTCCCCTTCCTCCTGAATGACTAATCATTATTCAGAGCCGAGATGGTCCTAAACCCCCTCGAACGACCCGAGTGAACGACCGCGTGCTGAAAACAGGCAGCATATGCAGGTGAAGGAAATGGGCACGTGACCGAGACGGAGCATCTGCAGCAGGCTTTCAGACGCTGCCCTACACGCTGCTGACCGGACCGTCCTGCGAAAACGAGGCTGCCACTCGTTAAAGAAGATGGTAGAGGTTCTAAATAGAACCGTTTGCTCGATTAAAAGGTTCCTTGCGTGGCGAAAAAGGTTCATCAGACTGATGAAGGATGTGTTTGGTTCGGTATTGAAGCTTTTTGAAAATGGTTCTATCTAGTACCAGAAAGGGTTCTGCTGTCGTTCCGCTTGTAACAAGAGAAGAACCCGTTTCAAAACCGCATAGAACGCATTCTCCATCAATCTAGAGAACCATTTCACCACGCAAGCATGCAGATGGTTTTATATAGAACTTATGGTTCTGAATAGAACCATTCCCTTTAACTAAAGAACCATCTTTTTCACGAATCGGGCTAATTCGGGGGGGATTTGGCTTTGGTGTGAATGTGTTCGCGCGGCCGTCATGAGCCGCATGTAATGCGCTTAAAGGGGCGCGCTTGCGTGAGTGTGAATGGAGACGGTGGTCGATGACAGCCGGGGCGCTGCTCGGGGTGAAGATGAGCCTGAAGATGCCTCATCAGTGCGGGTATCTTCCACCATCCGCCCCCGCGCACCTCTGCCAATGCAGGCCCCCGCCCCTCGCCCACCACTCTGCCTCGTCACGTAAACACGGCACGGCAGGGCTGGGGCCGCTCTCTCTCTCTCTCTCTCTCTCTCTCTCTCTCTCTCTCTCTCTCTCTCTCTCTCTCTCTCCCCTCTCTCTCTCACGAAATAATTGGGATCCGCAAACATAAATGCGCTCAGTGCTCCACTCAATAAGTTTGATTAGAGTGTCTTTTCTTGCCCCCCCTCCCCTTGGCAGCCCCCCTCCCCCTAGTCTTACACACTCTCTCGAGCTCTCTGTCGCAGTTTACCGTGCTGACAACCCCAACCACTTCTCGTTTCACGATCTTTTGATACAGCTTGTATTTTTCTCGACGTCATGCCAGCTTGTCAACAGCACCGGAATGAACAGTGAAGGAAAGCAAATGCTGCTGATTAAATCTCCTCACGAGACCGCGTTAGTTTCGGACAGCGCGTGCGCTTCGTTTTGCCGTATTGTCCAGTAGCGATTGATGGTCAAAGGCACGAACCAACGAGTCCAATGAAATTCTAGGGAAAAAATAATATATAATAATGACACTAATGATAGAAATCCACACCACACAGCCCAAATCAGATGATTGAGGCACAAACTCGGGTTTTACAGTGCGGCTCATTCATATGTGTCGAAGCGATTAAATGGATAAAGAGGTCCAGTGAAAAGGCGCTGTCGCTGTCCGCGGTGCTGAACCGCCCACATCGTGCGCATTGGCACAGCACGGCTCAGAATGCGCATTCACATCCACACACAGCCCCGCTCCGCTGATCCCACCACCATCAGCACCACCGCTGACCAGACCCGCTCAGTACCACAGCAGCCCAGTGAAACCTACACGCGTGCTTTAATTAGCTGGTTTCTCCTCAGTGCCGGACAGAGCCGCGTCCCTCTGCGCTGAGAGCCCAAAGCCTGAGCTTCGTCTGCCGGACACTGTTTTTTATTGTAATAATCTCATAATAATGATATAAAAAGACACCGAACAGCGTTGTTGATCAGCTGTCCTCGTCACAGAACTCGTCCTTACCTGATCCCGTGTTGTGCGGATCGCCGTCAGTAGCCTAATGGAGCGGACGGCTCTGCGTATCTCAACAACTGATACCTCGACCCCCTCGTGCTGGGACTGGCTTGCTGCAAAGGCACTGCGCGCGTTTGATGCCCCTTCAGTTCTTCTTCAATGGAGAGCAGCTCTGCCCTCGCCAAAGATGGCCGCCGCTTTGACGTCAGCGCCTTTTAATAGCAGTCTGGGGAAGGGGGGGGGTGAGTGTGTGTGTGTGTGTGTGTGTGGGGTGAGTGAGTGGGGTGTCGGGGAAGGGGAGGGGGAAAGGGGGGGGTCCAAACCACACGCACTAAACCAGCACAAAAAGACCAGCACAGCAACAACACGTGAATGAATGAAGGCGTTTTGAGGCGTTTAGCTGAACCCGGATCATAAGAGCTCCTGCGTTTACTGTGAAACCCCAGCAGCGCGAGGAGAGGACAGTGCAGCGCCGTCATTAGACGCTCGCGTAGCCTTATTTAATATCATATAACATAATATATCACAATGGAAAATATGAAAAATATCAAATTAATGGCCCATTATAATCATAACACACTATACAGCTAAAGTTGGAACAGTGCTGGGTGGCTTTGCTGTCATTCTTATTCACCCTTATAAAAGATGGTTCTTTAAGGGTTCTTTAGGAAAGGCAGTGGTTCTGTATAGAACTATGAGTTCTATACAGAACCACTTCATGCTTAAATGGTTGTTTGTACGGTAAAGTGGTTCTTCAGATTGGTGAAGAACGTGTTGTATATGGTTCTAGCACCAAAAAGGGTTCTGCTCTTGTTATGCACACTTAAAAATGATTGTTCTTCAAAGGTTCTTTAGTAAAGGCTGTGGTTCTGTTTAGAACTATGAGTTCTATACAGAACCGATTCCTGACTGAATGGTTGTTTGTACGGTAAAATGGTTCTTCATATTGATGGAGAACATGTTGTATATGGTTCTAGCACCAAAAAGGGTTCTGCTATTGTTATATACAGTTAAAAATGATGGTTCTTCAACGGTTCTTTAGTAAAGGCAGTGGTTCTATTTAGAACTATGAGTTCTATACAGAGCCTCGTTCTGATTAAATGGTTGTTTGTATGGTAAAGTGGTTCTTCAGACTGATGGAGAATGTGTTGTGTATGGTTCTAGCACCAAAAAGTGTTCTGCTATTGTTATGAAGACTTAAAAACGATGGTTCTTCAAGGGTTCTTTAGTAAAGAAAATGGTTCTACATAGAACCATAAACACTCAAAGAACCTTTTGCATGATTGAAGGGTTCTTTGTATCATTGATAGATAGAGAATGTGCTGTAGATGGTTCTATACCCTTTTAAAGAAGGTTCTATATACCATATAATACACATTCTCCATCAAACTGAAGAACCCTTTAATGATGCAGAGGGTTCTTTGAGTGTTCATGGTTCTTTATAGGACCATTTTCTTTACTAAAGCAAACATTAGAAGAAACTTTTTGGTGCTATATGGAACCATTTTCAAAAAAGATCTACAAAGAAACATCTACAACACATTTTCCGTCAAACTGAAGAACCATTTCACCATGCAGAGAGTGATTGAAGCATGCAAATGGTTCTATATAGAACTCTGATTCTAAATAGATTCTAAATAGAGCCATTGCCTTTAGTAAAGAACCATTGAGGAACCATCTTTTTAAAGTAAGTAGATTATTACTTTTATTAAACCTGGAAAAGAAACTCTCTGAGATTAAGGCCCAATCCCATTTCACCCCTCGCCCCTACCACTTAGCCCTTAGCCCTCTGTTTTGCGCGTTCACATCTAGGGTTAGGGTGTCCCAATTTTTGTTGAGATAGAGGGTGAGGGTGAAGTGTTAGGGCTACATGGCCCACCAAACTGAGGTTTTTCAGAGACACTCCAAACAGAGTGTTATGAGAAACAAGAAAAACCGGCAAGACGGCTGAACAAGAGACCAAAGAAACCCACAAATGTGAGAATTTTCTCCATTAAAAAATTACGATAACCACTGTATTATCTTAGTTTAGTGTTGTTTCAATGTATTATGGTCGTTTTCTTCATAACAAGCATAAAAAATTGCTAACAGCATGCTAATGTCTCGGTAGCTAGCTAGCTAACTTTCCCGTTCCACCTTAAATAGTCCAGCAGTTCTGAGCCCTGAAGCGCCAGAATGTAACTGCTGCACCATTTAAGGTGGAACAGGAAAATTGGAACAAGAAGCTGGTGAATATCTGACTTCAGCTTCATATCACCAAAGAATTAGAGGTGGGCGATAATAAATAATTGCCCCCCCTCTCTGAAAACATATGATGCCCTAAATGTAACTAAAGCCCAGCAGTGAGGAGCTGAACTTTACCCTCCTCTGCTATCACTGAAGACGGGCCGGGTCACCTACAGAGCAGCGCTAGTAGCTGTTAATGAAGCAATGTTTTTTTAATTTGAGGGTCCCATTTTGTAGGGCAAGATTTCAATAACTACCCCTTGTAATTCAGTTTTCTCATTTAATTGTGGAAAAAGGGTCTTTAACTTTGAAGGGACAAATACTTTATGACATCACATGACCTGAAATTCTTATAATGTTGTTATTACTATGCATTCCAAATACCAATTGAAATTGTATAAATTCCAGTATTTGTAAACATTGGGTAGTACATTTCACTAAGTGTTCACTAAGTTGGATTTAATTGGTCTTGTTTTAAATAAAAGGATGTTTTTAGAGAAAAATTAGATTTTTTGGTGCTTTTTTTAGATTGTATAGTGCTATGGTATGATTGTGCATTGTTGCCCTATGGCTACCATTTACCAAATACTCCACTTTAAAAAAGTATTGTTTTTTCAAATATTTCTATTATTAAAGCAAATTTGAATAACAAAAACACATTAAAACTTTTTTTTATCAAGTACAAGTAATAATTCATGCAGTAGAGGGTTAAATAGTACTTGTGGCACCTCAGCTAAAGAAAACAGTCCGTTGTCTTCTTCAAATATTGGCCTGCAGATTAAAGTTTCAATAGTCAATAACCTGAAAAGCACACTTTGGTCTCCTAATCGCTACATTTGTTTTATCCTTGCTTGTAAACAGCAGATTGATAAAAGCCTTGTGTTTTGGCTCCTGATCTTGCAGGATTTAAAAGTAACAGTCTTCAAGAGTAAATGATGAAATTTCAGAGGATTAATGTGAACCAAATCATTTTAATCTTGCTGTGATATTAAATGGTCAAAAACTTTTGTGCTTCTTCTTCATCAGTGTAAAATTGCTTACATATTGCAATTTTAAATGACATTTGTAATCTTCTATAAGGGGATTTAAAAAAATAATTAAATGGTCAAAACAAAGGCATTCAGAATAGTTTGGTGTGAAGTGCTTCATTCTAGTCCAGGGGTCGGCAACACATGGCTCTTTTGCTGCCCTGTTGCGGCTCCACAGCAGAATTAGATTCGTAGGTAAAAATAAAATAATCTTCCTTTGCAGTAAAATAAAGCTCTGCTGATCGTTCAACACAGTTTAACAATAAATGGTCTTAAACACTGGAGTTAATGCAGAACTGCTAATTCACCCTTTAACTCTGAAGGTTGGCACTCAGACTGCTGGTCACTATAGCAACGCAGACAGTCTTGCCTAGTAATGTTAGCTAATGAAAAGGCAAGGAGAAAGATTTAAGACGAACATCAATAATTTGGAGACAAATGGACTTATTTGTGTTTATAATCACTCCAGCTGGTTTTCTGTTACGTTTAATCAGCAATGAGAAACTATCAAACACTAAAGAGCCGCAAAGCTGAAGTCAGTTTCTCATTCACTTTTTGTTCAAATTGTCCCATTCCACCTTAAAAGGTGCAACAGTTGGCTACACAGTTAGCTATATTCTGGCGCCTCAGGCACCATTTAAGGTGGAATGGGAAAAATTGAACAATTAGTTGACTTTAGCCTAGTAAAAAGTCAAACATTAAGAGACATTTTACATGAAAACTATTCTACTTTCGAGGAAAAGTTTCCTGCAGATGCGAAAAAAGCGGCTATAGCCGAGCTAAAGCTTACAGCAGAGCAAGTAAGTCTGCGTTTTCATTTATATTTTTTAGCCTGTACTAGAACATTAGCACATACTGAGACATATTAACAGCCAAGATGGTGAAATGTTACTTTAATACAATGGACATGAAATGTTGTGGCTCCCAAGGTGGTTAGACTTTTGCTGAAACTTGACAAAATGGCTCTTCTCAGCATTTGGGTTGCGACCCCTGTTCTAGAGAAACTACCGCATTGTTCACAGTGGTGGTGATAGGAACCAGACATCCAGAAAGACATTACATGAAATGATTACAAATATGCTGCCTGATGTCTGAGACACTGTTTTATGACAGTTTTGTTTGTTGTGAAGCAAAATGGTCCCCAAAGAAAACTTATTATTTCAGATTTACTACTATTATCAGCAATACATATAAAAAAGAAGACACATGTAGGTTATTTTGGATTGTCGGTTAAGGCTGTACTTGCGTTGCAGACATCCTGGCCCCTTCCTATCAGCACCACTGTAAAGAAATCTGAACCTGCAAGTTTCTCTACAGTGAACTGTGTTTCACATCAACCCACTCTGAATGACTGTTTACACCTCAATCATTGAATTATGTAGACATTTTTAAAAACGTTGGTGATCCCCTTTAACATGCCACCAATGGAAGCATATTATATACAGTGAGCTGATATTGGGTTATATTTACATTATCTGATTTTAAGATGGTCTTTTGAAGAGCACCTCCCGACCTCCCGATATCCACCAGCTCCACTGTCTGTTGCTTTAGTTCTGTAAAGCTGTAAAGTGGCTGCACTGTGCTCGGTTATAGCTGCTGTTAGAATTTTAAATAGTGTGTGTTTTACATAGGGGCAGGCTGAAAAACAACCCACACTGTATGTAAACTGGGCAAGTTCCCAACAGTAACGAGTCTAAATTAAACCTAGTCCACACAAATGAGAGATAATGAACAATCCCAATGCATTTACCAAGTAAGGAGGACAAAAGAAATATATAAGAAGTTAGAAGAAAACAGGGTTCCCCACTTCTCACTGCACTTCAGCCATCAGACATGTTTGTTAAACTCCATCAGCAGCAGCTGATTTAATTAACTAAAGGGTTGATTAGCTGAAGGAGTATTGAGTGGTCACTGTAAAGAGTGTTTTTCCTC